GACCCACAAGTGCGAGCGCGCAAGCACGTCCAACTGAGGGGCTGGGGGGGACGAAATGAGACGGGCAGTGGGCGAGATGAGGCAACATGGCGGCCCCACAGCTCCGCTCTCTTTCCAGCGGAAAGCTGGGCGTGTCCAGTGCTCTGAGCGCATGCGGCGGCCCTGCCCAGGGCCTTGGCAAGTGAGCGACGATCAACAACGGGTCTTGTGCGAGATGATACAGCCACCTTACGAGGTGGCTTTTGCGGGCCGCCAGCGCGGAACGCTACCTTGGAGACGGGGGCACTTACGCGCGACCTTACGCGGACAGCTTACGCGCCAATGCCGGCGAAGACGACCCCGTCGTTTTGCGTCGCTCAAGTGGCATTTCTCATGGCCTCCATCTATCTATCTACGTGCCATCGTTGGGGCCCTGGCCCGAGGGCGCGCGGCAGCCGACCGTGGCGCCGAGGTGCTGCCAGGACTGGAGGACGGCGGACCTGCCAAAGGGATCGGGACCCGGCAAACTCCTGCAGGATCCTGCAGGATCCAGCGCCCAAACCTGAGTCATTGCATCCCCGGCCATGCAGGATCCTGCAAGATCCTGCAAGATCCGGCGCTCTGACTGACCCCCGTTTGCATTGACCTCCGTCGCTTGAGCCCCGACCCCACCAGTCGTTGCCGCCAGCCTGGACAAGGGCAGTCCTGAGGGATCACTGGCACTGGTGGGCGAAGTGGGCGGCCTCGTGAGCGGCCTCGTAGCCGATCCGACGGGCGAAGAGGGCACGGGAGAGTTCGGGGTCAGGTCGGTAACAAGGATGCTGCAATCACCGCCAGGGCTGGCCTCAGCGTGGAGAGGGAGCTGTGCTGGGGCCCGATGCAGGGCAGAGAAGTGGCGAATGAAGGAGAGGCCCAGGTAGGTGTGCGTGGCAATGTGTAGGCCGGCCGACCATGAGGCCCAGGTACAAAAGATGGAGATCCTGCGGGCCTGCGAAGCGTCGGAAAGGAGGGCGGCAAGGTCGTCGACGACGATGGGGCATCTCTTCCCGATGCAGTCCGCCGCGCCATCAATGTTCCAGCACGGGGGGAGGCCGTGCCGCCTATGCCGACAAAGCGGAAGAGACGCCTCAGCGGGAACACACCCACGCGCACGAATGTTCCTGCTCCTGCTCCGCACACACACACACACACACACACACACGCACACACAAGCACGCACGCACACGCACATGCACACGCACACGCGCACGCACACGCACATGCACACGCACACGCACACGCACACGCACACGCACACGCACACACACACACTCACACGCACTGTTCGTTCGCATGTCCCTCCTCGTCCCATTCCTGCTCCGGCACCTCCTTTTTCTCCCCGTCATCCTCCTCTTCCTCCTCATCCTCCTCGTCTTAACCCATCCAACTCATCCGAGTCCTCCTCGTCCTTGTCGTCCTCATTTTGGTTCTCGTCATCACATGTATCCTCCGATTTTGATTCCACTCTCCAGGGGGAACCGGAGAATGAAGAGAAGCGAGTGGAGGGAGAGGCAGAGGCGGAGACGGGGAGAACGGACAAAAGATGGCAAGAAGAGAACGAGCCATAATTATGCTGACCCGAACCATTCCTACCGAAGAATTTGAACGATTCGTTTCGTTGACTGCTTAGGGACTGCGGCCGCAACTCGTTGATCCTTCATATCAACCCGCAAACGGTGCCGCTCAGCTCGCGAAGTAAGTTGTTGTACTGGTGAGGGTTCCCGCACTCTCCGTTGACAGCAATGGTTGGACAAGACTGCCACGGCAAGCTTCGACGCCAGGAACTCGGTTTCGTAACTGTTCATTACCAGGGACGTATTTACGCCCCAGTGCCAATATAGTGGAGTGGCCCAGGATTTCGCAAAGTATGCCACACATGCCCCATGCTGCAAGTGTCTCCTGCGAAACAAGATGCGCGTCCCCAACATACGTCATTGATTGATGCCCGTGACGAATACGTTGTTGCGCACGCACGGTCGTGACCATGTGTTTGGGTGTACGCTTTTGCAACTACTCGTGGTCGTTGTCCTCGGTTTGTGTTGCTGCTGATCTTGGTGATGCAACTTTATGGGAACACGTTCTCGGAGTAGCCCAATAACTAAATGCGTCGCGCGCAAATATTCCACCACGTCTCGAAATAGACCGCGACCAAAGAAACGGAAACCGTGAACTCGGATACCAACGGATTCACTATGGAGTGCGTGGGCCAAGGGTGCATCATCATATTGCACATGGGCAACGATCAAAGAGCTGGTAGCAACCTCATGCAACGGCTCACGCACACCTCCAACGCGGCACGCAAAAATGGAAACGAGGGCATGTACGCGCGACCTTACGCGGGCAAATTACGCGCAATGTTAGCGCAACCGACCCCATTTTCTTTCGTCGCTCACATGACCGACGAAAAGAAACGGTTTTCCGCGACATGACAAAATAAACGATCTTACGCGGTGGCTGACGCAGACAGACAGCACGAGACTTT